GTGTGCCTTCCAATAGCGACAGCTGGCCTGCATGGGAATCTCTCCACCCACCCCTTTTTGCCTTTAAGAAATAAACGCTCCAAGCGAGTTTACAGCTCACGCCTCGGCCCTCGGGGAGCCCTTTCCGGCCGCACTTCTATCTTAAAGCCCAGCTCACCGACGGCTCTCGCGAGCTATCGCCATGAGTTTCCAGTTGCTAAGGGTGAGGAGTTTAGAGGGCATCTGAGACTGCAGACGCGGGCTGGGCAGAGGGTGACCGCGGGCGGTGACCGCGGGCTGGACGGGGCGTCTGCCGGCGCAGGGGCGCGCGCGCGCGCGCTGTGGTGGCGCCACCCTCGCCAGCCAGCCCTCGGCCACTGTGGGCCTCCTCTTCGCCTGGCGGCGACTAAGATAAGTGACCTAAGGCCGCGGGGCTCAGCTGGCCTAGAGGTGTGTGGAAGCCTAGGACCCTAGAAGGCCTCTAGGTATATGGGTCTCCCTCCTGCGCTCGGAGCGGTTAGGTCGCTCAGGGGACGCGCCCCGGGAGGCCTTGGGAAGGTGACAAGCCAGGGTCTACCTTCTCCGCGTCCGAGGGTCCCCGGGGGCAGGGCAGGGCAGGGCCGGACAGTCTCAGGCTTGTCTCCTTCGGGGTTCTGTAGTGTCTAGGAGAGAGGCCTTAGGTACCAGGCGGCTTTGCTGCTTGAAGGAAGTTTAAAACCAAATTCATCGTAGCTTCCCGGGAAGGAAGCAGATGGGTTTGGTCAGCGTTGGGCCAAGGAGTGCGAGCCCCAGACCTGGGACAGAACGGGGTCCCGGGAAGCCTGGTAGATGTCAGGATCCTCAGTTGCGCTTCATTTTTGCCCGTTTGTGAAGAGTTGCCTGGTCGGAAGACCCGAAGGCCGAGAAACTGCTTCAGGCCCCTGAGGCCTAGACTCCAGCAGTTCAGGGACCTGAGTGGGGCTGAGCCCCCGCACCTATGGGTGCCCGTCCTCTCGGCGTGGCGTTTATTCTGCTTGGAATTTAAAACTCAATTGGTATTGTTTTGGAGCGCCCGGGGATTGGTGTCAGCAGCACCCCTGGGCGTAGCTCTGGAAGCTCTTTGTATTTTTAAAGGTATGTATTCATTTGTCTATGCGCGCCTTCCACGGTGTGTTTGGCGGTGGACAGTTTGCGGGAGTCCGTTCTCTCCTCCCATCGTGTGGATCCCGGGGATGCAGCCTGTGCTTTTAAACGCGGCAGCAAGCGCCTTTATTCGCGGGGCCATCTCGCCGGCCCGTTTGGGAGCTCTTTAAAGTCATAGGTCCAGCGCATGCCCAAGCCAGGACAGGAGAGCAGGGCGTGGATGGACATCCTTCTCCGGAGATTTGCGGCAGAAACCGGATTTTAGGGCCCTGCCCAACCGGGGCAAGCGGTTGTTGACACAGGTCCTTCACTGACCCGAGGTGCGGAACAGGGCCCAGCCCGGCACGTGGCGCTGGGCTTTCAAAAGTGCCTGGGGGTCCACCTGCTCTCGGGAGCCCCTTCCCTGAGGTGAAAAGAGGAGTCTAGTCGCGAGGCTGTCCCGTTTATAGACAACTCCAAGCAGCCTTCTCTGGCCTTGCGTGGGGGGTGGAGTCTGGGACAGGAGAATGGAGCCCCCAAGCCGCGTAACCAGTCACCCTTGCGTGCTCCTTTGGAGGTGGTTCACTTTCGGGGCGCCGGTGGACTTGCACACACCTGGTCGCCTCGGTCTGGTTTCCTGGGCCATCATCTATCTGCTGGCTGGGCAGTGGGTCCTGGATTGCCAGAGTGTGAGTGACTGCAGGCTCCCTAGGGGGCGGCAGAGCGAGCCCCTGACAGCTTTCCACTCCCACTCAGTCTCTGCTTCGGCTGCCGGGACCTCATAGCGCGTTCCCAGCGGGAGGGGGAGCGCAGAGCGGGCACCTTCCCGGGTACTGGCTGCCAAGGGGCGCAGCCGCTCGCGGCCGTATCTTTCCGTGGGCAAGGGTAGGAGATGTGTTTAGAGTGCGGGAGCCAAGGGATGAAAAGTTGAGCTCAGGGAAGGCGGAAGCTTCCCGCACCTGGACTCTGTGTCCAGGTCCCACCCCCCAAAGCCCGGCGCGGGTGGGGCAGGGTCCCCCAGAGTCGCGGAGATCATGCGTGCAAGCCTCCCTCTCCACTGAACGCTGAGCTGTCGCCCTAAAGAGCGCGCGAATAGCCTTGTCTAGCGGTCCCAAGTCCCCCAGATTCCTGAGAGGCAAGCACAGACCCTCTCTCCTTTCTGACTCAAGAAGCTCAGGAGGAGAGAAGTCTCGGTCCCACTGGGCTGCTTGGGCTAGCGCAGTTGCGGAAGGAACAGCGAGGGCCTGGGATAGGGGGAGCCGCACCCCAGGCCAGGAGAGGAGCGCGTCCCCACCAGACATGGCATCTAGGGAGCCTTGGCTGCCTTCTGGGACCTGACCTTCCCGGTCTTGGGCACCACCATGTGGGCAACGCCGAATCCAATTCTTCCTGGTGCAGGTGCCCTCTCCTCCCGGGCCCTCTGTGTGTGGAAGCCTGGTGTGTGTGTCGGGACTGAAAGTCTTTTAAACTTAGCTGGAAAACCCCCTTGGTTCCCGCTTCCTGGGTTTGCTAACGCAACTGATGGGAAAAATCACCTTGGATGTGGCTAGTCTCTAAGGCGTTCTAAGGGAACGATTGACTTGAAAGACATCCATTTTAATTTCAGTTACTTTATTTTAGGCCTATTTGGGTCTAAAGAAATGCTTATACAACCCAGAGGAGTAGGAAGATGGTAAACGACTTTATTCTGTGGATAGGGGAGGCTCGTCCACAACAGGTCCTGGCCACCGGGCTGATAGGTATCAAGGATTGCATAATTGGTTTCGGAATCCAACCGAAACAGTCCCTGCCTCCAATTCCCTCCGAAAGTTTGAAGCCAATCTCCACATACTGTTAGGATCCACCAGCAAAATTAGCTCACGAGAATTATCGACCTTGTGTTTGGAATGAAAAAAATCAAGTTATAGTAATTGGGCCAATTTATTTCGTTTCTTTGAATTTAAATTTTTGAGTTAACACTGAATGTTGCATTGGGACTCGAGTGGTGAATCTTGGGGTTCGGCAACATTCTGTGGAAGGGAGTTTTGCTTTCTGCCTCCTGTGGGATGAGGTATGCCCATCTCTCCGAAGGTCCCCTCTCTGCACCCCCTCCCACTTCCCGGCCCCTCCTCACCCCACCCGCTCCGTGGCACTGAAGGTTTATTCTCCCGGAACCTCTTTTCCCGGGCGGGCGAGTTGAGGCTTCTGCACGGCCCTCCCGTGCCAGCCGCGGAACACACTCCGCAGGGCTGGGCACAGCAGGAGGGATGGGCCTGGGCGGGGGAGCTCGGGTCTCCTCCAGCGGCCGCCAGTAGGCAGAGATACACCTTCGGGCGACAGCGGTGACAACGCCGTCGTCCGACTTATTCTGAGCAGGCTCTCCGGTGAGTTGCCTCTTCAGAACCGGGCGGCGTGGGCGGGGGCGGACAGCTGGGGGCAGACTGTTCACACCTCCTCCTCTACCCCAGGGGCAGGACAATACAGCACCCAGGGAGAGGGGAGGGGGAGACTCTAGGGCATCCTGGGGCTTCAGCAGCTTCCCGGCCCGGTCCTCGAGTCTCTGTTGGAGCGGCCGGGGTGGGATGTCAGGGAGCCCCGGGGGTTGAGACACCTCGGAGTGAAGAGTCGCCAGCTCTCAAGTGACATCCATCTTTTGGAGGACGGAGGAGGGTCCTCGAGGTGGGGAGATCCCGGTTGTCAGCTCCGGCGCTCTCAGGCGTGCAAGGGGGCCGGCATAGGAAGCCGCGTTCGGGTGCCCAAGCCTGGCAGGTCTGCGATTGTCACAGACCGCCCACGGATGCCCCTGCGAGCCCCTCGCGACGCCGATCCCCGCAAGACGCCTGGCAGGGTGCGGGGCGGAGCTAGGCAGGGACTGGCTGGGGGCTGCCCCGCCCGGCGCCTGGGCCTCCGTGCCGGCCCCCGGGGAGGAGTTATGATAATTTCCTTCTCATTAAGGCGTTCGGGTCCCCCCGGCTATCGCCGGGACACACTGTGAGGGTGAGGCTTCTCCGGTCCACGGCTGCGGCCTCTACACACCCACGGCGGCCACTTCTACACGCACAGCCACCGATGCGCGTCCAGTGACCAGGACAGCGAGGCCCGCGCGTGGCGGGGGTGGCGGCAGACGCCTGGCCACCGTGACCCCGATTGTGGATTTACCGCTCGGGGGGTTGGGGGAGCCTGGATTTAACTGGCGACTGTTTTGGGGGACGCCGGACGCCATGTTGTGGAAAATAACAGATAATGTCAAGTATGAAGAGGATTGCGAGGTGAGCGGGGGGCTAGGGAACGCAGCCCCACCGGTCTGAGCAGTCCCCGGGCCGCAGGCCGAGGCTGGGGACGTCCGCGCGGAGCCCTCACCTCTGGGCGGGACCAGGGCCAGTGTCCCGGACACCCCTTGGCCATCTCCTGAGCCCCTTGCTGTTGAGTAGGGTCTTGTCCCTCGGGAACAAGGCCTGGCAAGAGCGTGGCAGACCCACCCGCAGAGCTCAACAGTGGGTTCCTACGAAGCGCACGGCCCCCCCCTTTCCGTTTTCCCCGAAGAGAGAGCGCCCTGTCTCCGACTCTCAGACGTGGCTTTTTCCCACGAAGTCTGTCCAAAGTGTCCACGGAGGCCTCCCTGCCGGCGACACCTTTGCGGAGTTCTTCTGCAAGGCAGGCTTGTCACCTGCCCCGCTACCTCCTCGGGAAAGGAAAAAAAAAAATCCAAACAACTGCAGCTTGGTTTTCAAGAGAAGTGGGGGCTGGGGACTCTGGGGTGGGGGTGAGGCCAGATGGGGCCTTGAGCGCTCGCGAGTACTCAAGCCTGTCGGACAGGTTGAGCTAGAGTTTCGGAGAGTAGGAGGGAGGGAGGCGACGAGCGGGAAGAGGAAGAAGACTCAGGCGGCGCGAGGCGAGCGCCGAGGAGAGAGGAGCCAAGGCGGCCAGGCTGCGGGAGCGCACGGCGCTCGCACGACCTCGAGGGGCTGCCCCTGCTTGCAGACACGGGGCGCTTCCGCTAGGGGGCGACAGTGCCCCGCTCCTGTGTCCCCGCTACCCTTGTGACCCCCGGGACCGATGAAGACACATCTTTTAGGAATTAAGTCTGACCGCCTTGGGGCGAGGGGACGTGCGCAGGCAAAGGTTGCCCAATTTGGCAGAGTCTTTTCATTCCTTCTCTGCAACGGGAGGTGTGAGAACCTTGACCGTGGCCCGGCTGGAAGACTTCACTTCCTAAGGCGCAGAAGGCACGGGCCTGGCTAGCAAGGATCACAGCTCCCATCCCGCGTGTGGCGCCCCCGTCTCTCCGGACGACCTAACCTATCTGACCTTACCTGGGAGTGTCACTTCCGCAGCGGTCTCTCCTCTAAGGAGTGAGGGGGATGGTCCTTAGGGCGGAGGAAGCGCGCTCTTCGCTCGCACTGCGCATTATCCGCGCCGGCTGCCAATTTTGGCGCGCGGCTGCAACATGGGCGGGCTGGCGGGCGAGCACACTTTAAGCCGAGCTCGCCGCGCGCCGACCCCCTGGGGCGCGGGCTACCGCCCCGGCCGCGGCGTCTCCGGGAGGGTGGCCTGGAGCTCGCACTCGGCACCTCCGAGCGCCGCCCGCAGCTCGGCCCCTTCGTCTGTGTGCCCGGAGGACTCGTTCCCACAGGTCTTAGACTGGTGGTTTACAACGAAGTCCCTGGGGCGCATTGTCCCCGGGTGCCCTAGGGCTCAGGGCGGGTCGAGACGGGTGGGGCGAGCCTGGTGGGGCGCCTAGGTGTCCCTCCCTTGGCTCGCCCGTTCGCTGTAGCAGGGTTTCGTCTTAACCGGGCTCCTGCTGTTTCTCTCCCAGGATCGCCACGACGCGAGCAGCAATGGGAACCCGCGCATCCCCCACCTCTCTTCAGCCGGACAACACCTCTACAGCCCCGCGCCTCCTCTCTCGCACACCGGGGTCGCAGAGTACCAGCCGCCCCCCTACTTCCCGCCGCCCTACCAGCCTCTGGCATACTCGCAATCCACCGACCCCTACTCGCACTTGGGAGAGGCTTACGCTGCAACCATCAACCCCCTGCACCAGCCTGCGCCCACAGGCAGCCAGCAGCAGGCTTGGCCCGGTCGACAGAGCCAGGAGGGGGCTAGCCTGGCCCCGCACCACGGCCGCCCTGCTGGCCTGCTACCCCACATTTCAGGGCTGGAAGGGGGCGCGGTGAGTGCCAGGCGGGAAGCCTACCGCCGACCCGAGCTGCTGCTGCCTCATGCGCACGCCCTGGAAGCCGCTGGCCTGGCCGAGAACTTGGGGCTGCATGACATGGCCCATCCCATTGACGAGGTGCAGGTGAGCAGCGGGGGACTAGGGGGGGCTACCTTATCGCTTCTCTTACCCTCCAACCACTCCACTTTCCCCCAAACTTGTGATTTTTCCCCCCCAGAATGTGGACGATCCGCACCTGCTTCTGCACGACCAGACTGTCATTCGCAAAGGTAAACATCGATTCTTGGTGCGATCCCAACCTGTGAAGCTGCCCCTCTTCCGTCAAAGCGGGGCGGGGAGGGGGGTATTAAGCCACCAGGATGGGCATCTAATGGACTAGGGGCCTGGTATTAACGCCAGACTACTTTTGCAAGAGTAGAAAGACCGCAGTATTTTCTGACCTGAAAGGAACTGTGAGGAGCTGTACATTTTAAAGTTTTTTGGTGGTGGTAGCTTTTGAAACAGCTTCCTTCTCTACTTAGCTCAGGCATCACAGGCTGTATTTTAACTTGAAAACGAGACCAAAAAGACACAGAAACAGCACCTGAGTTTTCTGGTCTGTCACAGTTTTTAATTGTTGAACAAATTGACTCCGTTTTACCTTTTAGAAGTAAAGTCTTGCTGGGCGTTGGTGGCATACGCCTTTAATCCCAGAGGCAGGCGGATCTCTGTGAGTTCAAAGCCACCCTGGTCTCTAGTGTGAGTTCCAGGACAGCCTCCAAAGTAATACAGAGAAACCCTGTTTCAAAAAAAAAAAAAAACCAAAACAAAACAAAAAAAACGAGTAGTAAAGTTTTATTGCTGGGGTTGGGAGGGGGATCTGTATAGAGGTCAAATTCCAACCAACCTGCAACCTGGCTGCGGGTGACTGCATGCGCTTTTAATCCCAGCATTCAGAGGCAGGTGGATCTCGTTTGAGTTTGAGGCCAGCCTGGTTTTACAGAGTGAGTTCCAGAACAGTCAGGGCTACAGAAAGAAACCCTGAACTCCTGGTTGACAGGCTTGGCTTGGGGGCAAGTACTTTTACTGCCGAGCCATCTCGATGCTGTAGAAGAATTCATCTTATTTCTTCTCATTTGAGTATAGCTATTGGAGAGGAGGCCTTTAATTCTGACACTATTTAATCGGTTCCTCCTAATATACTGCCTTAATAAGGACAGCCTTTAGGGATTTTATAGGAGGGAGGGGAAATCGGATTACAGTGAGTGGGTGCCTCTTCATTAAGTTGAACACATTACCAGCATGATTGAGGGGGAAAGGAATCACCCTGAGTTACAGGAAGCTGTGGACTTGAAATTGTGAACTACATCAGTAAATTGGGAGAGGGTGGGGTGGGGTGGGGAGAAAAACCTGTGTGTGGGGAAATGAACATATCCGAGTAAACTTAAGCAGATCTGGTTAATCTGTATTTCTAAACTCCCTGGCTGCACTGAAGGATTTGGCTGCTGATCTAAATGAGTCCTGTGGTTTCTGTTCACTGGTGGGGGAGGGGGGGATGCCATTTATTTCGTATTGGAGCAGTCTTCTGAAAGCAAATGTTTTAATTAAACAGATTACTGTGGTGGCCAGGAACTGGGAGAGAGGGGGAGAGAAAAGGGTGAAAAAAAACCAACTCCATGCACGGAATCTCGACTAATTAAGGTTCCAGAGGTGTTAACTCACGATTTCAGATTCCAGTCTTTGAAGAATGAATATGGCTTTTAAAAAGCCTCCCGACATAATGTAGTTCTGCAAGTGGTCTTTTCTGAAGGCCGACCCACCTCAGCTTTGGGCTGCTGTTTTGATGAGGCCTCTGCCCCCTCCTGTTCTGGTGACAGACCCGTTCTGCTGTCCTCCCCACAGGACCCATTTCAATGACTAAGAACACTTTGGGCCTCCCCTGCCAAAAGGACATGGTGGGATCTGTCATGAACCCCAGTGAGGTCTTCTGCTCCGTTCCTGGAAGGCTGTCCCTGCTCAGCTCCACCTCTAAATACAAAGTGACAGTGGCTGAGGTACAGAGGCGACTGTCACCACCCGAATGCCTAAATGCCTCGCTCCTGGGAGGTGTGCTCAGAAGGTGACACATGTTCAGGGCCCCCTGGGGGTTGGGTAGTCTGGGCCTGGAGGTATTTTTAGCATTTATGTAAGTTTCATAGCTTAACACTGAATTCTAATCTTTAGTAAAGAGAGCTTTTTAGTGCATGTCTTCTTCTCGAAAGTTCCAAATGCAGAAGGTGCTAAAACATCAGTAACAGGTTATCATTTGAGATTAAGAGGCAGCAGCTGCACCGAGGGGGGGACTTCTAGTGTTTTGTCTCCCCCCAGGGAGTTTCTTTGGGAACTGCTAACTGTAAAGGTTTTTCTGTACCCCTTCCTACTAGTTGCAATATTCTGGGATTTTTTTTTTCTTTTTAGGGGGCGAGTTTGTTTTTTATTCTTTGAGAGTAGCCAACATTCTTTTTCACACAGAGCAAAATCCAAAAACGGAGGCCGGTCCTTGCGGGAGAAGTTGGACAAAATTGGGTTGAACCTTCCAGCAGGGAGACGGAAAGCTGCCCATGTCACTCTGCTGACGTCTCTGGTGGAAGGTCAGTGTGGCCATGGTTCATTTTTTACTGACTTCACGGCTGTCGGGAGTAAGCAGTTACTGGTATGAGTGGATCACATAGAGAAACGAAGTTTAGACTGCGTCCGTCACAGGGAACCCTAACACATAACCCGACCATGCATTCTTTACGCCTCTGACTGCTTCTATGTGTTGTTTGGGTGCGTTTCACTCAGAAAGTCAGTGTTACCAAAATCCTGATTTCTCTGAACGTGTGAAATCATACGGTGGAAAGGGGCAAGATTGTTTGTAAAGTAAACTAGCTTTGGGGAGTTAAACGGTGCAGTCTGTCAGTGGTGTGCCCTTAAAAGTCAGAATTTCTGTTTTCTGGAGTATTTTTCTGACTGTGGGGTGTCAGGATCCTGCTTTTATACAATGGACGCGGCTCAACCCGCCGTTTCTTCCCGTCCATCAAAAGGGGATTTTTGGAATGAAAGCCGTGGTCCACAAATGAGCCCCTTTAGCCATTCCTGAGGTCATAGCTGTGTCCAGTTTTTGAATGGAGACACCTCCCCCGGCCGGAAGACAGCCAAGAATGCCATGCAGCATTTAAAGAAAAGTAAATACTAGAGAAAGAGAGAGAGAGAGAGAGCCTTGGGCCCCTATGCTGTCAGCCCGGCCTCACGCTGGCTGGCTGGCCGGCCGGCCTGAGGATGGCCACAAGAAGTGGTCTCTCCACAGCAGAGCTGTCCTCAGCCTTTATTTCCTTCCCTTGCCGCCGCACCGTGTGACCGCGGTGCTGAGGGGGACTTGGCAGACTCTGTGGTTCTCCCCCCCGCCCCCCCCACGCCTTTTCACTGTGCCTTTGGAGGCCAGGGCAAGCAAAGGCCTGACTGAGAAGAGCTGTTTGCGTGAAGAGCGGGGTTCTGATGAGACGCTGCCAGGTTCCTTACTACAAGTTTAAATGGATCACTGTTCGGACATTGACACCTGGGCTCCCACTCAGCCGCAGGCCGGCCTCTCCACAGGCCCCGATTTAGTTCTCCCGGCCTGAGCCCCGAAGCCTGGTCGGCTTTCCTTCTTGCTGATGTTGTTGTTTTGGGGAGACAGGGTTTCTCTGTGTAGCCCTGGCTGTCCTGGAACTCTCTGTAGACCCGGGCTGGACTTGAACTCACAGATGCTCCTAACTCTGCCTATTGAGTGCTGAGGTTAAAGGCGTGCGCCACCACTGCCTGGCATCGGGTCACCTTCGCTGAGAGAAGAAACCGTGATTTTTCTCCCCGTTACTCTGCTCCCACTCCCCCACCCCTAAACTTGGACTGGGGGTGAGGCTGTTTTTAGTTAGGAGGCCCCCAACCTCTACACTCTTCCTAGTATTACTAGTTGGACCCGGGACCCATCAGTCTCATTTCAGCCCAGGGTGGCCTTGAACCTTAGGCTCCCAAGTGTTGGGAGTGCAAGCTTGTCACACTGCCATTCTTGTTCCCCTTTCTTTTTTGTTTTGTTTTTTTTGTTTGTTTGTTCTTTTGAGACTGGGTCTCCCATGTCCCAGGCTGCCTGGGATTTGAATGAACTTGAATTCCTGAGTCTCCTGCCTTCAACTTCCTAGAGTTTTGTTTGTTTGTTTTCTTCTTTTTAAGGAGTGGTGGCATACACCTTTAATCTTAGCACTGGAAACGATATCTCTTGAGTTCAAGGCCAGTATGGTCTACATAGCAAATTACAGGCTAAGCAGGGATACAGAGTGAGAACCAGTCTTGAGAGAAAGATTGTAGTTTACCACAGTGTGAGGCATGGTGGGCGTTAGAGGAGATTCTGCCCCAAAACAAGAAGAGAACCAACTCCTAAAAGTCGGTTCTCTGACCTCCACACCCAAGCAGCAGCATGGACAATTAACAAGAAGGAAGAGGCTGGACAGAGGTGTGGCCCACCTTTAATGCCTGCACTTGGGAGACCCAGGCAAAAAAAAAACAAAAAACACAGACAAGGAAGCATCTAATGACACCTCAAAGTGCCCTGAACCTGGTTTCATTTTAGAAGAATAATGAACTGTGCTGACCACAGCCGTGCTCAACCCTAAACTTCTTGGGAACTACTGATTACAGGCGAGGCCGTCCACCTGGCGCGGGACTTCGCCTACGTGTGTGAGGCTGAGTTTCCCAGTAAAGCAGTGGCTGACTATTTAACCAGACCGCACCTCGGGGGACGAAATGAGATGGCCACCAGGAAGAGTATGCTGCTAGCAGCACAGTGAGTATTTGGCTCCCGCAGGCCCCGGGCCTCAACCAGAATTCTCTACCCCTAGTAGAGTGTGGAAGCGGGAACCTCGCTGAGTTCTCCGGCCCGGGTGGTGTGGCGGCTGCTGACTCAGCTCCGCAGTCTCAACACCCTGCTTGCTTACTGCGCTTGCATGTATTCAAGACTTTGTGTACAAATTCTAGCTGAGCAGAATTTGCCTAGTATGCAGGAAGCTAGGCCATCCGGAGCGCCACGTAAAAAGGGAGCTAGCTGGTGTGCGGGGGGAGTGGAGGCAGGTGGAGCAAAAGGTTCAAGGTCATGCTCAGTTACTTAGTTCCAAGGGCTAGCCTGGGTTGCTGGAGCCTGGTTCTCTTGGCCTTGACCAGGTGGCAGGACTTAATCCACTTGTCTTCTCTCCTGGCAGCTGAGATGAAGGGAGATAGTGTTTGGAGAATTCAGGCCCTGGCGTTCAATAGATGCCAAGTGTGGGGTGTGGCAGGAGAGGTTAGTGTGGGCTATCTCACTCAGGTTAGTGTGGGCTATCTCACTCAGGTTAGTGTGGGCCCGGGATATCTCACTCAGAGGGCTTGCCTTGCACGTGTGCAGGCCGGCACATCATAAACCAAGAACAGGGGTAAATTCTGTAATCTTGGTGCTGGCGAGGTAAACCCAGGAAGACTAAAAACCCAAGGTTGTTCTTGGCTCCTTAGTGGGTTCAAGGCCAGCATCCACCTTTTGAGATAAGTACAATCTCCTTTTCAAGTTTATTCTGATAGGATCAGGAGGGATTTAATTCTCTCAGGAGCCAGGTAAAGTTCACCAACCGACTGTCTTCACAGGCAAGTGTGCAAAGAATTCACAGACCTTCTCCATCAAGACCGAACCCCCAACGGGAACAACAGGCCCACTCCGGTCTTGGAGACGAACATACAAAACTGCCTGTCTCATTTCAGCCTGATAACGCACGGCTTCGGCAGTCAGGCCATCTGCGCTGCTGTTTCTGCGGTGCAGAATTATATCAAGGAGGCTTTGATAACCATTGACAAGTCCTATATGAACCCCGGAGACCAGAGTCCTGCTGATTCCAACAAAACCATGGAGAAGATGGAGAAGCACCGGAAATAATGCGGAGTGCATGGAAGCAAGAGAGGGAAGGGAGAGGACCCTTGGGAGCAGCAGCCCGGGCAAGCGGTTCTCACCCACCTCGTCCTGGACCTGTCTTCTCGGAGTCTTTGTGGTTTTTCTATTCAACCCTGGACATAACTATCTTGAAGCAATTTGCCTTGGTTCTTTTATTCATTAAAACATTTATTTTTTGGAAATCTATTCCTTCTCTGAAAGGTGCTATGAGTTTTGGAATCCCTTTGTGAAACCCCCTGGGCTAACGAGAAACCCCACTCTGAGCTGAGCTGCTGACACCGCAGAAGGATGTGGGAGATGAAGGGATCAATCGTAACTTACTTTTTTTTCAGTGTTAAGATACAATGTTTGACTTTTATGTCCACTGAAATATTTATCTAAAAAAATAGTATTTAATCTAGCTTTCCCCCCCCCCAGTGATCACACCTTCTGGTAGGAGGCAAAGGTCGATGCTCTTAGGGGCTGTTCACGGTGGTATGTGACAGGCTTCCAGCCCCATGCTCAAAGGGGTGGGGGTGGGGTCTCCTGGTTCTAAGGAACCTGAGAATGAAGCCCGCTGATTGTTTCCTGCCTTTAAAAAAAAGATGTTGAAAGTTTAAAATTCTTTGGATAGTAAAGTTTTTTTTAAATGACCTGTTCCTTTAAGGTATAGAAGCTTTATTTGCATATTTATTTCATGCCTTTTTTTTCCACGTAAACTTGAAGAGGGTAGGCACACAGCAGCGCCTGTCATCCCCAAGTCCCCGAGGAGGCTCTGTGTTGAGAGACTGTTGAGTGTACAGATTTTATTTATGCATAATTTAATGGGATCTGTAAATACTTCTTATGACTTTTTGAGAAATGGGATTCGATTTTAATAATAACTTTTAATGGTGGTGGGTAACATAGCACCTCTAGATTTTATGCATACGCACACAGGGTATTGAGATTGAAGCCTGATGCAGGTCGGCTCAGGCATGATTTCATTGGAGCTGTTTAGAGAGCTATGTCCAATATCCAACCTGTTCCTTCGGGCTGAACCAGAAGAGTAGAGAATAGTTTGTGTGGGTGAAGTATGGATCGGAATTGAACTTCTATGCCTGTAAGTGCTCACTAAATAATTGTGTGTATGATACCTGTATAATAAAAATATTCTCCATAGAATCTGTGAAAGTCTGGTTCTGACCCATTTTTTCCCTCCTCGGCCCCATCAGGGCTAACTTGAGACTTGAATGTGGCTTAGTTAATTATATAGATGGAGTATAAGGAAGTCTTGGGTGCTCTGGAAGAATCCTGGAGTTTTCTTTCCCTAAGGAGGCTCAGGGTCTTTCGTGTTCTCACCCCGAGTCCCTCAGTTCCTGAGTGTCAGCTCGGGGGGGGTGCAGGAGGCAGGGTGGCGCAGTTGGCCATTGAGAGGGGGTTAAGTTTTTTTTTTTATTGTGATGGTCCTCCAGTATGTTCAGCATGTGCTCATGTGGTACCCCAAGCCTAGGGCCACAGTTTTGAGAAGCATTAGTAATCACCGAATAGGACTTTCACAGTTGCTGATTGGATGGGCATGAGGTCTTCTTCACTGGTGTTCCTTGGGCAGGTCTTAAGGGGGGGGGACTTACATCAGTGAAGCCCACGAGTGGTGACCTGGGGCGTCTGTTCAGTGACACTAATTCTCCATCACTGGGAACAGCGAAGGATCTCCGCTTGGGGTTTCGTCACTTTGTCCGACTGTGGGGTGAGTTAGAAGCAGTGCAGGAGCCTGTGGGGGCCAGTGTGTTTGCTGGGCGTTTGGAACTTAGATGCACAATGCCTGTACTTGGTTTCTGGTTCAAGTGGCCTGGCGTAGCCTCCAGGAAGTGAGAGGTTAACAGTTTGGCATGCTTGGCTGAGCTTCAAAGGGAAGTGGGGGCAGGAGGATTTTCCACTTTGGATAAAGTCATGGCTTCGGCTCTGTTCTTGTAATCCTTAATTCCTGATTCCCTCCCCAGTGAACAGCCACTCCTGACTTCACGTTGGCATGGGATGTTCTGAAGTAATTTAAGCACCGCCAACCCCATATTTGCTCTTGGCAGCTTGTCCTTGGTCCTGGTACATCCCCATTGAGTTGGATTTATCTGCTTGATGCGTCAAGATCGCAGTTGGCTCTGCTTTCAAGCAGAGAGAAGAGGTCTTAGGCTGGCAGTTATTTCTCAATCAAGACTTGAGACACTGGGTGTAAAAAGGAAGTGGGGGGCGTAAAAGAATAAGGGCCGTTTGCTTACCTCCAAACCTGGTATGGGACCAGGAGGTGGGTTTCAGAGGCTATGTTCATGTAGGCAGCCTGCTGGAAGCTGCCTAAAGTCGAACTACCAGGGAGGCGCCACAGACAGGCTCTCATGCCTGGCCCGGCGCTTACATCTCATCGATACCCTTGGAAATGCAGGGGACAAGTTTTCCATATCCGGTGTCCAAAGCCTCTTGGCTGGTAACCTGCGAAGCAGGACTGAATGCTTAACAGGGAACCCCTGAACACCTTGCCCACTGACAACGTTCTCAAGGAACTCTAGCCCACTAGAAAGATAGGGGGCTGTGCCTTTTGGCATCGGTTCCTCAAGACCACTTGCTCTCCTGAGCAGGGTGGCTCTTTTAGGTTTCGTGGAAGCGTCCTCTCTCTGCCTTCTGCCTGCTCTCCGGCCGTACGCTGGCGGTTCCACACACTGCTGCCTTGATTTATGTCTGGTGTATGTGTCTGCGTGGGTGCATGTGGGTGCATGCTTGCAGAGGTTACGTCAGGAGCCTTCCTGTGCGGCTCTCCACCTTAATTTTTGAGATGGCATCACTCATGGGACCCACAGCTCACTGATTCAGCTAAGCTGCTGGCCAGAGAGCTCCGGGAGCCTCCTGTGTACCTCACCAGCACTGGCATCCTAGGTGTGTGCCATTGAGCCTGACTTTTTTTTTTTTTTTTTTTTTTTGGTTTTTCGAGAGAAGGATTCTCTGTATTGTTTTGGAGGCTGTCCTGGAACTTGCTCTGTAGACCAGGCTCGAACTCACAGATCCGCCTGCCTCTGCCTCCTGGGTGCTGGGATTAAAGGCATGCGCCACCAACTCCCAGTAAGCCTGGCTTCTTAAAAGAAACGTATTCATATTTTTTTTAACTTTCTGTGTCTGTGTGAGTGGCTGCAAGTATGCGTACGGTATGTGCCTGTATGTAACTGGAGTCAGTTGGTTGTGAGCCACTGGATATGGGGGGAGGGAACCGAGCCCAGGTCCTCTCAAGAGAAGCAAGTACTCGTAAGGACCGAAACATCTCTACAGTGCTCCATGCCTGGCTTTTCTGTAGATGTCAGGATCCAAACTGGTCCTTACGCTGCACAGCAAACATTGACTGAGTCGTCTCCCTTGCAGCTTTTCAGATTTTTGAGACAAAGTTTTGCTGTGTAGCCATGACTGGCCTGAAACACTGTAGCTCAGGCCGACCTTAGCTCCTTGATCCTCCGGTCTCCATCTCTGGGGGGCGGGGCTAGAATCATGGGCATGCACCACCATGCCCAGCTATGAACTTCCCTTTTTCTAAGGCACATGTTGTCGCTGCCCTCTGGGAAAAGTACTCTCAACAGGCTCCTTTGTCCCGGCTTGCTGAAGGAAACCCAGTGTGTCTGAAGGCACAAGCTTCCCAGGATTCCATGCCCATAAGGGGAGTCTCGGCTGGACCGTACATCTCTTGGCTGGCATCTGGGTACCTGGCACTTTCAAGGTGCCCCCTACCCTGCATACAGCACACCTGTAGTTTCTCTGGGAGACTGAGTGTTTTCCATAGCTGTTCACGCTTGTCTTATCTTCCATGTGTGTGTGATTTGAGCCGTAGGTTAGGCAACAGACAAGACGGCTGTTTCTCATTTGAGATGATTCCATAACAATGGCGGGCATTCTTTTCATTTTGGGGGGGTCTGATGTGAGGCTGAGCTCTGAGACCTCAACTTCCTGGATTTGAACGTTAAAAACCAAAGCGAAACAAGGTAGGGTCACGGACGGGTGAGGATCAAAGAGACTTGTCTGAGAGCCGGGCACAGCCTGGGGATCTGGAGCCCACTGTCTGCTTCCTCGGGAAAACGCTGGCTGTGTGTGTTCCTGAAGAGGCTTCGGTGCCTTCTGATGACCTCAGAGTTCCTCCAGCCTTCCCTTTCTGCAGGTGGGGAAAACAGTGTCCCAAAGTGGTAGTTAAGTCTGCCTGCCTCGATGTGCGTGGGAATAACTTTGACGTGACTATCTCCATCTGTCTTATAGGGGATGAGTGTGTGGTTCCTTGAACATATTTGGCAGCTGACAGCCTTGTATTGGGGCAGATAATGGGGCTCTCTGTGGGCCCTGTGTTGGCAGTGGCCCTTTTCAAGCCAGCTGAGCCCAATGTGCTGTAAAATGTTCCCCAGGGTTGGTGATGGAGGAAGGTCTTTCTGTTTTCCACTTTGTAGGGCTTCAACTCACAAATGTGCCTTCTGGACTAGATGTTTCTCTTGAATGACATATTGACTTTCCACGTTGATGTGCCTTGGACCTTTCTTCCTGTCCACAGCCCTCATTGCCTCCCCCAGGGAGGATGGAGGCTCTGGGTGCCATCAAACCCGACTCTTTGCTGGCTCTGCACACCCAGGTTGGTGTCTTGCCTAATGTCCATTCGGAAGCAAATCACACCTAGACTGTCTCTGCCCATAACAGGGAACATGATCTTCTGTGGAGAGGAACTTGACCTCATGATTTTAATTTTTAATTTCATTTATGTACTTTTTTTTGAGACAGGGTTTCTCTGTATTGTTTTGGAGGCTGTGCTGGAACTCGCTCTGTAGACCAGGCTGGCCTCGAACTCACAGAGATCCACATGCCTCTGCCTCCCGAGTGTTGGGATTAAAGGCATGCGCTACCAATGCCCGGCAAGGAAATTACTTGGACCACTGAGCCAAAAACAATGAGTGATCCATGAAATATGTGTGTTGTACGTATGTTTGTGCTGTAGGTGTGTGTTATGTGTATATGGTGTATCTGTATGTTTGTGTGTGTGGTGTCTTTGTGTAGCATATCTGTAAGTGGTGTGTATATGTGTGCCTGTGTGTATGTGGTGTGTCTCTATGTGTTGTATGTGTGTGTGTGTGTGTTTGTGTGCTTATTGCGTGGGGTGTGTCTGTGTACCTGTGTGTTGTATGTATGTGTGTGTGTGTGTGGTGTGTGTGTGTGTGTGTGTGTGTGTGTGTGTATTGTGTACACATGCACCAGTCATTGCTTTGGGGAGGAGAGGTGTAAGACTCAGTGCTCCTCTTCCACCATGTGGGTCCTAGACACGGCAGGGAGCAAGTCCTTTGCCCATGAGCCACCTGGCCACCCAATCTCTTTTCTGTTCACCACCCCCAGACAGGTGGTGGTCTCTCACTCTGAATCCTAACACCCTGTGTTGGGTTCCTGTCTGTCACTCTGAATCCTAACACCCTGTGTTGGGTTCCTGTCTGTCACTTGTTGAATGTGAGCGAGGCCCAGGCTCTGTTTCGGTTTTGCCTATTTCATGGTTTATACACCTTGAGAGAATCAGAGGGAACTGGGGAGATGGCCAGGAGCACTGGCTGCTCACGTAGAGAAACTGGCTTTGATTCCCAGGACCCCCAAGGCTGCTCACCACCACCTGTCACCCCAGTCCCAGGAGAGCCAAAGCCTTCTTCTGACCTCCTCAGGCACCAAGCATACACACCCACGGTACACATACATACAAGCAGGCAAAATACGTACACATAAGAATAAGATATAATTATAGAGACAAATAAAATTTTTTTCCAATGGGCAGTGGTGGCACACTCCTATAATCCCAGCATTCAGGAGGCAGAGACAGGCAGATCTCTGTGAGTTCAAGGCCAGCCTGGTCTGTAGAGTGAGTTCCAGGACAGCCAGGGCTACACAGAAACCCTATCTCAAAACAAACAAACAAACAACACATTAAATTTTTAAAAGAGGACATGGTGAGATCCCAAAACTGGGGGTGTGGCTCATAGCAGAATATTCACCTGACAGGCTCAGATTTTGATCCGCAATTAGGGTGAGGGATAAAAGGACTCAAAAGAGAGAGAGAAGGGTTTGTAGACACCCTCCCTAGTGCACCTGAAGCCCAGGTTCCGTCAGAGCCACACAAACTGGGTGTGGATCAGATGCAC